TTATGGTTTTGCTGCATTTACACCCATGTGAGGAAACAGAAATATAGGTGTCATAAATAAATGGTTATTTAGCTGTACAAAGGTAAAGGAATTATGTGCAACTTCACACCTTTCTGATATGTGATAATAGCTTATTTGATAGAAAATTGGGGTACAATCGGGGACATGCTATGAACATCTTTCCATGTGTGCTTTTGTTTGAAGGGATCAATTGACATCTGCCTCTTACTGCAAATGGTACACTAAATGCATTTCCCTTTACTATTAAAACTGAAAGAATGCTTATGTGTTTATCGACATTAAACAGGTTAACAGGTTATCTTATACATCTAAGATTGACCCAGATTGACAAATATGCAAAGCACAATGTGCAGCACAAAACACCTTGAACACACCGTCCTCACAAGGAAACGGGGTGGAGGCAGCATCATGATGTGCAAATAGTTCTCTTCAACAAGGACAAGGAGGTTGGTCAGTTTATGGGAAGGTGGATGGAGCTAAATACAGAGTATTCCTGGAACAAATCCTGCTAGAAGCTGAAAAAGACTTGAGATTGGGAGAGAAGTTTACCTCCCTGCAGAACAATTACCCATAAATTAAGAACTCCTGTGACATGGTTTAGATAAAAGCCTATTTGTGTGATAACAAAACATAGACCTAAATCTAATTGAGAATCTGTGGGAATACTGTTCACAGGTACTCTCCATCCAATCCAACTGTACTAGATCCATTTTGCAACGAAGAAAGGGCAAAAATCTCATTCTGTAGATGTGGGGAGATGGAAGCGACATGTCACCAAAAGACTTGCAGCTTCTACAAAATATTGAGGTTGGATGCAAATGCTCCCCACATTTTACAAAATTCTATTTGGAGAAAACAAATTGCAGACCCTGAGCAATTTTCTTTCCACATTACAATTATGCACAACCTTATTTGCCTTTTGTTTCAGTAAATGGCGTAAAGCTGTGGAATGATCTGAAAGTGGGCCTAAAGCAATGTACAAACACAAAACAGCTCAAATTATTATATAAGAAAATGGTAATTATGGGAAACAATATGTAATAATTATTATTTTTTAAGTACAATTTTAGTTTGTAAAGTATTATTGTTTTTTATTACATAAATACATTGACTATAATACAAGGAATAATTATTTTTGTTGCTGCTGTAGTTACTGTTATACATTTCAGTTAAGTATTGTATATAGGTGCATATTTATAACCACTGCAAGATGCTAATATTAGAACAGTAAGGCATAATTATAGGGGTACATGGAGAGGAGTGGGATTAAATAAGTTTATGCTTCCACCCGTTTATGCTTACAACTTGCTCATATTCAGATAAAACAAAGAAGTTCATCATTTAAAATCCCAATCAAATGCATTCCTGTTTGTGATTGTAACATCACAAAAATGGGAAAAAGTTAAAGTGGTATGGATACTTTTGCAAGGCACTATATTAGATCTGATATGTTTTTTTATTCTCTCAGTCCATTGCATATAGGTTGCAATGAAGTTTCATATCTAAGATGGGTAAAAGTCTGTTAATTGACATGCCTACCCTGAGGAAGAGCAGATCTTGTTATGCAGTGCAATGCTCACCATTTTCCAATCATCAGAATTAATCAGAATAATTCCTTTGGGACCTTTTCTTTTCTTCTCCTCATCTCTCCAGTAGCCTTTTCACCAACTGCACATGCTCATTACCCATCTTTTCTTTTTTGTTCCTTTTCCTTTCATTCATCCTCTCTCTCCATCTCTCATTATTTGCTAATTAAGATTGGTGAATGATATGATGATTAAAGCCCCCCTCCTCTACTTATAATCAGTTCATTTCCACTGTTTATCTGCTTGTTATTGTTTTTTCATGTTTGGGGCTATTGTGCCCCGGAGTCGGACTGATGAGACTCTGGTCTTGGGTTCTAATACGGCTTTGCGCTGATAACAGAAAGGAGAGAAGCAGATCAGAGCAGGAGGTTTGGGAGGGTGGATGAATTAAGTAAATAGGATTTACGAAAAGAAAAAGTTACACTTTATTGAAAAAGAGGCAAGAGGCTGAATTTCTTGCTGTAAATCAGTTGTTTGTACTCGTACTCCTACACAAGAACGAGTACAGAATTGTTAAAAGTCTTGTTCTGGTTTCACAAACCTTGACAAGAACCGATTCTAGACATGGGAAAATGTGATAATAGACAAAGTAGTTTTGTTCCAGATAAATGCAACATGTAGATGCATACAACCAGTTTCTGAGCTCTCAGTGATGATCAAAGTGACAACGTACTTTGAGACATGATCATAAAGCAGAATCATTTATTTAAACTCAGTATATTTATATGGAACCAAATGACAAAAAGTGTAATCTTAAGGCACTTTACAAGGCGAACAGATATAATTCATATCCAAAAATTTAGAATCAAAGGAATCTAATACATTCCAGTCATATAGACAGATTCAGATTTAGTTACATTTATCCATTCTTGTCTATAACTCTTGTCCTAGGTCGCGGGGAGCTGGTGTCTATCTCCAGCAGTCACAGTGCGAGAAAGCGGGGTATATCCAGCACAGGTCGCTAGTCCATCACAGGGACACACAGTATATCAGTGATACAGATATTTGTTACATGGACAATTTTCCCTACATTTACCACATTGTGAGGACCCACTGCTCCTTTTGGGGACCAATGACTAGTCTACATAAGGAAAAGTGCTGTTCTTGGGTTAGGGTTAGGTTTAGGACTAAGGTGTGAATTTAATTTAGGTTAGGTTTTGGGTTAGGTATGTGCTGGTAATGGTTAAGTTTAAGGTTAGGGTAAGGCCAATAAAATGAATGGAAGTCAATACAATGTCCCTATAAGGCTAGGAGGACACTACACTCACACCCAGGGTAATTTAGAGTGACCAATTTACTTAACAGTCATATTTTTGACTATGTGAGGAAGCCGGAGTAACCAGAGGGAACAGATCCACGCATGCACAGGAAATATCTTCAAACTCCATGCAGAAGGACCGCAGGCCAGGATTAAAACCAAGAACCTTCCTGTTGCAAGGCAGTTATATGAAAGCCCAGTCAATTTCAATTTATTATGCCAACAAGTGAATAGTTATCCAGCTAAGTGAGCTCAGCCTATTGTATTTAGTCAATGACTTTTCAGCAGCCCGTCTTCCTGACCAGTAATGTGGCAACACTGGATAGTTGATTTTAAATCATTAATTGTGCAGCAAACCTTCATTCTTTAATTCTCATGTTTTCCTTTAATTATCAAACCTGGAATATAAATAAAAACAAGGATACTAATATTCACAGGAAAAAATCAGTTGAGAGAAAACTGTTTGTGTGGTATTTCTAGTTTCATTACTTTTTACTATCAGTTTTAATAAGTAGAGACATGACTGGTATAAAAAAACTGTTTCATCTATGTGACATTTTTCCCCTGAATTTGATTTCATTGAGCATCATCTTTGTGCAGTTTCACTGTGGAGTCCAGAACCTTGTTGTTTACATATATTATAGATCAAATCACTCTTCTTACTGTGGAAGTGTTACTGCTTCAGCTTCAGTCATCTAGGGATACGCATGACTGCCCACTGCAAACAAGAGTCCACAATCCTTTTTTTTCGTTTTTTTTTAAACATCGAAATTAGACCAATACAGCACCAATATCAGATTTTTGTTTTTTTGCAGTTATGTTTGAAAAGCTAAATAAAGTCCCTTTTTATTTTTACCAGTACAATTATAACTGATGGATCGGTCTCAGCAATTACACTTTCTGCCTATATGACGTTACTCCTGACACCTTTCCATGTATTGGAACTTTCAACGTATTTCACTGGCGCAGCCATGTTTACTCCCTCAGATCAGAGGAGAGCAGAGGTCCAGTTGGCATTTTTAACCAGAGGTTTTAAAGCCATAACTTGTGAATATTTCACAGAGGTTACACTCTGAAACTGAATTAAAGCCCTTTCTAATTTAGAGGTCAGTAATAATCCACTGATTTTTATTAATTAAGGCCTGGAAGGTGTGTTCCAAAGGAACATTAACCACACAAATAGCAGCCACAGTTTGTCTGTCCTCTTTCAAACTTGAAATAATCTAACAATACACAATCCAGGGGTTTTGGATCTAATCCGCATCTTGAAACATAAACGCAGTTAAATATTGTAACATTACCGGTTTAAATTCTCTAAAAGTGGTTTTGATGAGTGTGTACTCTCTGGCTCCACAGATGCTGAAAGCAAGTCTAGGTTTCATTAAATGTGTTTTATTAATATTTAAATTACTATCAGCTGACCTTATTATTGTATATAAATGCACTGTAAGATACTGTGATATTCATCACGAGTGACTCGATTTTAAAAGTCCATCTATATTATTGTTGATTATTGTGTTTCCCAACAGAAATGCTAATTACTCCTATTGTATAGAGTTTAAACTGGGAGATGACTCAAACATAATACTGGAAATATTCCACCAGTAAGAAATATTTAGCAACCACCCATCACAAAACTCGACCCATAGCTCATGTTAGATACCAATAGTTCTACCCTCCTGTTAGCACCATTTTCTGGCCTGGACTTTGACCTTGATGATCTGACTTGGGCCTGGTTCCTGCAGGGATACGAGAATGGCCCCAAATAACTATCCGGGTTCTTGAAAAACGTTTCTTCAGTGAAAACACAACTGTTTAACACATCAAAACAATGATAATTTAAAACCAGTCAGTCAGTCAGTCATTTTCTACCGCTTATTCCATAGTGGGTCGCGGGGGAGCTGGTGCCTATCTCCAGCAGTCTATGGGCGAGAGGCGGGGTACACCCTGGACAGGTCGCCAGTCCATCGCAGGGCAACACACAAACAACCAAGCACACACTCATTCATACATCTACGGGCAATTTAGAGTGACCAATTACCCTAACAGGCATGTCTTTGGACTGTGGGACGAAGCCGGAGTCCCCGGTGAGAACCCACACATGCACGGGGAGAACATGCAAACTCCATACAGAAAGACCCCCGGCCGGGAATCGAACCCAGGACCTTCTTGCTGCAAGGCAACAGTGGGCCTGCAAGGCAACAGTGCTACCAACTGCGCCACCGTGCTACCAACTGCGCCACTGTGCAGCCAAATCCTAAAACCAATCCTAACTTATTCTTCAAGACAGACTTATTAAATGTATTAAATGTTTGATATAGATTATTAAAACTTCAGATGGAATTCAGTTGAGCGTGGTTTACTAACTCTCTCTCTCTCTCACTCAGGAATGTCTTCAAGGTGGATGATATTGCTCTGAATTACCGTGACCCAGAGGGCGACCTCATACGCCTGCTTGACAATGAAGACGTCCAGCTAATGATCAGGGAGGGCAGACGTCAGCAGGACAGAGTCAAGAGACCTGTCAATCAGTTTCCATGGGAACTGCATGTAACCATGGCCTCTGACCTTTCAGTTTATGGTTATGAACCGTGAGAGAAATATTTAAAAATGTCTCAAGACAAAAGGAAGAACAGGAACTAAGAATTGTTACTAGTGCTGTCTTTTACATTTGTCCCTAACCTGTTTAAGTAAACAGCGGTCCATACATTTCATTTATCAAAATAAATGGATTTAAAAACGTTTGCATACTTGTATTTATTTTAAGGTTTTGTACTTCTGCAGTCTGTGTGTAGTATTATTTTGAGATTAGGACAAGGAAACCTAAAGCTACATAAAACCTGATTCAGTTTTGAACACATTGTAAGAGTCTTACTAAAAAGAGATTTTGTCTCATTTTCTTTGCTGGTCCCCTGAGTGTTAGTTCCACATTTGCATACATGCTACTCTATGACTGAACTGCACACAAACATGTGGAGCTACGCTGTCTTATCTCATCTTATGTCACCATACATCCAGTAATTACTGGCATTATCAGTGTTTTAATTAATTAAGCCAAACTCTTGAAACTGGTGTTTCAAAGCTCTAAATAGTGGATAGATTGCTTCCTTTTCTGTTTTGTTCCATCAAGAGCTTTCTTCTTGTTAAATTTGTAGATTGCGAATCCCTGCATTGGGACATGGTCATCACTGGGATCACTGGGATCTGAGAGTTGTGGAAAAGACCACTTAAATGTTCAGGCTTTTGCCCAAACATCATGTTTACGTATGATTGACAAGGAAGTGTGGTGTGTCTGATGGTCTCAATGTTTTATGAAATGTTCTCCTACTTCTTTTTCTTTTCTTTTAATATGTTTTCAGAAAGCGTGTTTCACACTCGCTATATGTATGACCCAAGGTTTCCCAGCCGTATAATACAGTAAATCAGCAGGATTCACATTTTATGTCCGTTAGTGGATGTGGCAGATTTTTGCATATGAGATTCAGGCCATAGCTGAAAGTTTATCTGAAGGTAGAGAATGCATACAGTCTAGTGAAGCGATCTGCTGCACTTACTATGGTTCCCAAATTGTCACCAAAAGAGCAAATGCTCAGATTCCTTATAAAGTTCTGGGAAGAACCTTTAGTTCTTCTATAATTAGTTCCTCAAGCATAAAAAGGAGATTTTTTCTAAACCAGGTGATGACATTTTTCAATGTTTATTTTTTTTCCTGTAAGTTTTAGTAAATTCAATTATTTTATTAAAATGTTACATTCCTCTTACTAATAAGCCTTTATTTAATATACGCCATGTGAAATCCAAACTTTTTTTATTTAGGACAATTGATTATATTATATTGAAGTTAACAATTGGTAGAAGTTGTCCGTAGCTCCAGACAGGACTGCTACCCACAATTCCGTGTACAAAGAAATATTACACACAAAGAGGACGTATTTTAAATAAACATGTATATTAACTCTGTCAGATATGTGGAGGTGTTGAGGTTTTCAGACAGAGAAGAACAAAATTGTTTGCCCATATAATAGAATTTTTCTTATCAAAGTGGGAGAGAAATTAACTCACAATAAGAGAAAATCCGGACTTTGTCTTTATAAGTTTTATTCAAAGGCATTTCTGCGTTTGAAGACCCTGTCACTGAAGAGTCAGTGAAATAGAGCCCCAGAGCCCAGTTTTTACAGACAGTATTAAACAGTATGTGGGTGTTAACCCTCACTTAAAAGAGTTTGGAGACATGGTCCTCTAGACCCCACCTGGGGTCAGAGGTAACAATATTATTTATGAGGACACCCATCTGCTCTTCCTCAGGGTTCCAGGATGTTTTTTAACCATTAAACTTCTGGTAATGGTTTAGAGTCCATCTACTCTAAATAACAGAACACTAATAAAAACACAGAGGTCAGCGAGAGAGTTAATGAAAGTTCACAGCACTTTTGAACACTTTGTAGCACTAAATAAAAGAATTTCCAGAACAGGCTCTTTCTTCTGATTACAGATAATCAACAACTAAAAAGAAAATTCTTCAAACGTCACCAAGATTTATAATCAAGTAAAACAAAAAGAAATATACAACACTTTAAAATTAAACATCAAAATCAAAAGAAAATAAAAATTACTCCAACTTTATTACCCAGGATGTTCCAACCACCAGTAATGAACCAGGACCAAATTCCAAGAGAACCCAATATTTTCATTCTGTCGAGCCGTCAGCAACTCCCAATTTATCATGGATACTTATCATGTTATTAGACACATCAGGAAATAAAAATGCAAACACTGTTCTCCAAATAATGACAAACGCCACCCCTCTCAGCTAAAGTAATCCAAAGGTCATCCTATTGCCATAGCTCTCTCTTTTTTGCCGTTTGAACATTGTCCTTCCTTTCTAATAATAGACTGATCGAATCATAAGTAGTAGCTGAATAACATTCTCCAGACCAATTTGCAGGCAGATACAGATATTATCTATTTCCACACATCCAAACCCTTCTTAGGACACGAGTACCCATCTCTACCAGGAAAGTAACAAGAACCTGGTTAAATTTACCTGCCTGGCCATACAATTCACTTCCCTTCGTTAGCTGTAAGGATTAAAGTTAACACAAAGATCCTGAAATGGTATAAGGAATCAGGTTTCTGATAGGACATGACTCAATTTATGTCTGTTTGGTTAACCCACATGAAACAGATGTAATAGTTTTTCAACCCTCTGTCTTCCAAGGAAACAAGGTGTGTTTGGAATCACACATACAAATATCTAGATCTTATTAATTCCTATTATCCCCAAAATCTATGAAGAATTCCTGTAGCAACACATATTAAATTAGTTTCACTAGAAAATCTACTAACATTTCTCTGGCGTACAATGTAATTCCTCACCCAAGGAAAAATAACCTCCACCACTTGGTTACGTTGCCAATCTGGAAAAAAGTAGTTAGAATAAGCAGTTTCAATAGTAACAGTACCAAATGGTTGATCATTAATAGCACGGGGAATCAACAACAAACATAACAACTGTCATTTCTTATCTTCCTCACAAGTTGATGCATCAGTGATGATCCCTCTCGAATCAGCTGATGAGTATTATTGGCGTAATTACTCCACATTAGTCACAAATTTGGTCTAGCTGTACCTTTTCCCGACTTAACACAGAGTATAAGAAAACTTGCAATACCAATCATCAGCATCAGAACAAACCATCTTCCATATAGCTGCAGCATCGTGACCTTTAAGTGTAATGTCCTTTTCTCCTGTACTGAAAGCAAACAGTTTTTTTACAAAGAAAACAAATCATAAACAAAATTTAAAAATCTGCTGCCTCTCCTGAGTGGCTTCTGCGCTTCAAGCTGCCCTGTTACCAAGCTTGGTACAGGGCAGTCGTTGAGAAGCACCCTCTAGGCAGGAGGTTCAGAACCAGATGCTGCTCAGGTGGTGTTCCATGAACACCTTCCAGTGTAGCATAGACCCAGGTGTCACGTTCTGCTACCTTTATTTATTGGTGGACAGCGGTGTAGGATCTGATATGGCCATCCCAGCATCTGAACTTCAAGTGCGTTCTCCTGGAATCAAGGAGTGGAGTTTGGAAGTGGCCTGTTTTTCAGCAATGCAGCTTTCGCAATCTGTGAAACTTGAAAAAGCACAGTGGCAGGTTTTGACAGTAAACAACATCCTCTCTTCACAACAAAGATGGGGAAGTATAAATCTTAGCAATATCCCCATGCCCAAACTAGGAGACCTATCAAACAGCACTTCAAAAGTCTCGATCGTAAATGAAAAACAATAAGCAGATGCCTTCTTGCTATTTTTTTTTTATTTCAAAGTCTCATTCTCAGCCTAGTTTTTTTAATTACATGAACTTCATCAAACATCCAGCAAAATCAAAAGTGATTAATCTTCTCACTCCACCTAGTATACTAGCAGTGACCATCAGCTAAATATTTCTGAATATTAAAAATGTGACATATGATGTGTTTTGAGGAAGGCCTGATTATAGTCATTATTTCATAGTTTTTCAGAGAATACCCAAGACAATTTCAAAAATGGTCTAATCTGTGGAGATGTAAAATTTCACAAAAGAATCAACAACCATACTTTCAGACAGGTTTTCAGAATGTGATCATATTAACGAACTTGCACCATTTATATAAACAAAGTACAACGTCTCTTTCGCATTGTCACTAAGTTCCTCACTGGAGGTATGAGCTACCCTTTTTCCCATGAGTGCTAAAACTTTATTCATTCTGACATTCCGCCTCTTCTGGCGCAAGGGTCCAACCGCATGCGACAATCCAGCAAAAACTTTAAAAATTCTAGTCACCAGGATCACATTACATAAAACCACAGAATGAATTCTGACAAAGTGACACTATGAAATTACTAAACGCAACATAAAATAAATAAAATCCAGATGTTTCTAACTGTAATTCAGTTTTCCATTAACACAAAATGCAAACTTTCAGTTGTTGTGCAATTCATCAATGTCTCACTTAGAATTAGTCACATATCATCCTGATTTGGTCTTGTATGGAAGATGAGTATTAGGATTAATGGACATCAATGTAATTATGAATCATCTATCTTAAACTGTCAGCTAGCTTAATGGCACCAGGGAAAACTTTTAACCTAATAAATCACCAACGATGCTTCATGCAAAACTAATTCTTTAAATTAGTTTAAACTATTTCATTAACCTTTTAATAGTAAAACACATAAATCTAAATGTCATGCTACAT